AAATACTGAGGCTGCTGCCAATAGGGTTTTATTTATGTGGCTTGAGTAGTTGGCAGTTGGAATACTGGCCATTGCTCTTCCATTATTATTTAATTAATTAAATTTTAAAATAAATTTAATTTCTCTAACATTTTATTATAATTTATACGAAGTTCAATATTTAATTTATTTCTGCATTATATTAAATCATTTCCTTTACTATAGATTGCACAAAAAAGGAAAAAAAATATTCATTATGATTTTAATACACCTCTTGTGATATGAATTTAAAATTCAAATTTCAATGAATAATATTAAAAAATAAATTTACATAAATTTATCTATATCCTATTTATATTTTCAGATAAAGAACTCTCCAACCAATAACCATTGCTACATGAAGCAGGTTTTGCATTCCTCTTCTCTTAAATGGTAACGAACGTATGGCGAATGGCGTACGTAGCAAAAAAAATAAAAAATAAAATACAATCATTAAAGTATTATTTGAGATAATAAGCGACGTCAATTTTCATAATAATAAAAATATATAACTTTTATTAGTCATATCATTATATTTACAAAATTACCAACAATTACTGTTGGGATGTATTATATATAATTTGATATTTTTTTTCTTTAATTGGAGTGAATAATTAAATTTTTGTAGATGGAGTAAATCGATATTCATAAATATTTAAATTTTGTTTATAAAAAAGGAAGTTATATTCTAATTTTAAGAAAAATAGAAATTTGTCAGAAAAAAATTCCTAATCTGAATGCCGCCAGCTGAAATTTACAAGAAAAAAGGGCGAAAAAAGAGAAGAAAAGAAAAAGGAGCATGTGATCACAGATCACAAAATGCTTATCAGATGTACCACACTGTAATTAAAAAGGGAGCGGCCACATGTGAACACAACTCTTTCTCTCACTTTTTCTAGATAAATACAAACCCATCTGATTAGAACCGTTAAAATTGTCTTGCGTCACACCGAATTGACGTGCGGTTGTTTTTTCAAACGATAACATACCATTTCTGAATTTATCGCGATAAGATAATTTCAGCATACGATAAATTTGAAACGATAGCAAAAGACTCTTTCTTTCATGTCCCTCTTACTTTATCCATTTAATAGACATCCCTCACAACGCCTATAAATAATAATATAAAAATGATAATAATAATATTTAATTATTTTTTAGTCTCCAAAACTCAAGTACTCTTTATCTCTACTCGCTACCGTATCCACCAATTTTTACTCGCGATGTGAGTTGTCTTCTGTCACCTTGTGCAAAACGATGTTTATTTTGTAGTCATTGACTTGAGAGGAAAAAGAAGTTTGATTGCCAGAATCTCACTCAAAAGTGAATTGGAAAATTTGAATATGTTTGATATAAAAAATTATCTCTACAGTCGGTGTTAAATTTCATAGAAAATAATATATTTTTAAATTATATAATAATAAATTTATTGTCATAATTATACTGCTCTTTCTGAAAATTATTGTTATCACCCAAATATAGTAATAACATTTGTTTCATTATTTTTCATGCAACGTAAAAAACTCAAATTAGGATTGAATTCTTTTTTTTTTTTAAGCGGGAAATAAGGCTTTTTTTCCCCTTTTAGCTTGAAAATAGACAATATTTTTTCTTTCCTTTTAAGGCTGTATGAAATCCAATTATACAAAGTTTTTTTAGGTTGGAAAATCACTGTAAAGCTCAAATACAGCTAAGTTGTGACGGCATTTTTGTAAATTTAGTAGAGGCAAATATATAAATAATAGCGACCAAATTAGAAATAATTTTCAATGACTTTATTTATTTAATTTGATTTTTAGTGGGATCAATTATATTAAAAATTCTAAAATTTTTTACTTCATAAATATTTTTAAAAATTTTTTTTTATCAATTAAGCTTCATTTATCATTTTTTTTTAAGTTGACCCATTTTGATAACTTGAGCGCGTCTATGATAAACATCCATAATATTTTAATAAAAATTATTATTCAAATCGAGTCACTTGACTCTATTGTCCACTTAATACATCGACCATTGAATTTAATTGCAATTCCAAAATTCAAGTTTTTTATTTAAAAAAATTAATATTATAGTTTTTTTTATTACAAATTTAGAAAGAAAAAATAAAAGGAAATGTGTTTCCTTTAAAAAAAAAAAAAGAAAAAAGAAAAGGACATGTTCACATTTCATGTTGTTTTAGTTGTTGTCCAACCTTATCCTTAGCGCGTGAGAGACGAAAGCCCAAAAGCTTTTCTTTTGGCTGGTTGGCAATGCAACGACCTTCCCTTTTGGCTGGTTCACCTACGCCCAAATAATTGTGCAATCTCTCATTACCTAAAATCTTTGGATAATAATTCATTTTCTGTCTTCGCATGTTGTAAGTGATGATTTTCATTTTTAAATAACTTAGTTTACGTTTGGAAATTGCCTTTAGGCAATAATTAAACCTTTTTTTTATTGAGTGTATACTCATATTAATATTACTTGCATCTTCATTATAATTTAAAGTAAATAATCAACTTTAAAATTAATTTTTAAAAAATATTTTATAATCTCAACCTTCAGATTAATGAAATAGCTGGAAATTTATAAGAGTTAGTGTAATTAATGAGAATAAAAGCCGCCTTTCTTTTCGGTCTAAATCTATGTTATTAGAGTATTTTAAAATAATATTATTTGATGAGGTCAACATAAAAAATGAGAGTGTATTTATAAAATTGTTTGGAAAACCAAAAACTTAATAAACGTGAATTGATTCCAGAATATTAAACTATAACTGTATGAAAAAAACAGTAAATTTAGTTTTTACTTGTTGTGAATCTTAAGTTAATCCAGCTTTAATTACAAATGGACTACAATTTAATTAATAATTCATTAAATGTGTAATATTTTTTCTTTACCTGTTTTTTTTTTTTTTTAATTCCTAAAAATGGAAGCCTGAGTTGGAATTTTGGTGCATAAGAAGCAAATCCTTTTACATCTGTACCTGAGGATTTAGTTTCATGGCAGTTACGAATCAACCAAAGAAAGATTTATTTCCAAGTATTTCTGATGGGAAATTCTTTCTAAGTAACAATTCTTATAATTGCAACTGAAGAAGAGTTTCCATTTATGGTCATGTCTACGTTTTAGGATGCAATTTCATTGTCGATCAATAATTGTAATTTGCAAGAACAACTAATAATCTCAACTAAAAGAGAATGTACCCCACATACTAATTTTTTATCTTATTGTCTTAAATTAGATAGTATCAGAGTAACTTAAACTCCTATATTCTTACAAGCACAAAGTAGTCCCCATCATAGCGGATTCAGATTCAAAGTCAGGGGCAACCTTCTTTCATATATATATATATATGCTTTATGTACGGTTCCATGGTCTTTCGATAAGTCTAATTTGATCACTTTCAAATTTTTTTATTCTGTCAAAGAGAGGATCTCCACTTCTTTCTACATATCTGCCTAGAAAATAAAATAACATAAATAAAATTATCACAGTGGTGCAATAATAAACCAAAAACTGTGAAAATAACTAAATCCGAGAATAAAATTCTAAGAAATGGGCGACAATAATCTTAATATACACACAACAATAATTTCGATAAATTTGAGGATTATTAAAAAAAAAAACATAAAGAAAGAAAGGTGTGACCACCGATGATAATTCACTGGAGATGGCTTTTAAATTTTTTTTTTTAAATTATGATAAAGTGGCTGCAACTACTACGGTTAATAATTGATTGATTCAATCCGTTCTAGGCCAATGTCAAATTGAATTCATTAAATCAAATCTCACGTATATGAAATCGAATTGAAATTTTAGGATGAATTGATTAAATTGAATTGGTAAATAGATTGAATTGGACTGAATATCATTCTAAAAATAATCCACTCTAGTTAAACTATGATTCATAATGATATAAAAAATTATATTGAATGACTTTTTAGTCAATTTATGCAGTTTCATCGGTTTTAATTAAAAGATACCGAATGAAGTAAGAAAAACTGAGCTTTAAATGTAGCATCAATTAAATCAAATTGGACGCATTGAATAATCTAGCGGTCAAACCGAAATCACTTCAGTTAATTTTGACTTTTTGCTCATTCTTACGTGCAATCCCTAATTTTGCCATTGCCTTTATACGTTATATTAATTGCTTTTTTTCGAAATTGTTTCATAAATAATTATTTGTTATTTTAACAAAATTAAGGATTATTTAATAATTCTTTTCTTTTCATTATTTTAACTAAACACGAAAATTATTTATACAATTTCTTAAAGCCCATCTTTAAATTAAAATGATTGAATTACAAATAATTTAATTATTTTTTTAATCATGGTGCAAAATTCTTAAATTACATATGAATATATAAAAAGTAATGCTGTATAAAAGATAAGGTTGTAAATGAGTCAAATTGCTCGTTAGCTATTGAGATTAAATACGAACAGAGCTCATTTTATAAGCTTAACCTATCCAACTCAACCTTAAATTGAAACCCTCAAACGGATAATTTGTTTTAACTATAAATTATTTATAGCTTAAACTCTCTTGGAGCACTTGAGAGTCGATACATTTCTAAGTGAATTTTCTAACCAAATAAATTCAATTAAAATTTTTTTCTCATATTAACAGACATAGAAAGTTAAAAACTTATATTTCCTTAAAAAAATTAAAAATTTATATAGAAATATTTTATACAGCTATGATTAGTCTATCAAATACTACTAATTATGTTTGTTTTGCTCTGAAAATAAACACTGTAATTAAACTTAGAAAAGCCCGCAAATGCAGCCGGAAATAAATCCAATATGCAGCGTATTAATAACGCCTATAAGGACTTGGGCTTATCACTTCACATAAGCCTCCAACTAATCACCATTATAAGTTCTGTTGCTTATCAAGGTATTAAAGGACTTATCATACCAATCTATCTCATATCGTCTCGCTCACGGTATTTAATTTGTCTGATACCCCTCTCTCTCCTCCCTTCCCAATCCCTAGCCTTTTTCTCTGTATAAATACTCACCAGAAGTGCTAAGGAGAGAGAAAGTAGAAGAAGAAGTAGAGAGAGACAGAGAACAAGGAGGAAGAAGAAATAGAGAAAGCGCACTAAAAACGACATCTCGTTTCTCTTGCTTTTTCCAAAAATTCTCCGATCTGTGTATAGGTACCGTATCATTCTCTTCTCATTCTATTATATGTTTATCTGTGATTTTGTCTGGTTTTGGATGACTATTTTGTCGTTGTTGAAAATTTTTGAATTCATTTTTTTAACGTGTAATTTTGGTTTTTGTTTGGTTGGTGATGTGTTTTTAGGGGTGAGATTTTAGAGGTTTTTGGTTGGTTTTTGAAGTGTTGATCTGTAAGGGTTTTTAGATCTCTGAGTTGGTTGTCCTTTGAATTTTGGTGCAGATATAGGAAAAAAGAAGGATAATAAATAATGTCCTCGCTTAGCAGAGAGCTTGTGTTTCTCATACTTCAATTTCTCGATGAAGAGAAATTTAAAGAGACTGTTCACAAGTAGGCTTTTAATTCTAATGATATATATTGCATTTGTTGCCGTTGTATTTTGTTGGAATTTAGTAAAATTTGGTATGTGTTAGCTAAGGGTTTTTGTTTTGGTTTAAATTGTGATTGGGGAGGTTGGAGCAAGAGTCAGGGTTTTTCTTCAACATGAGGTGTTTCGAGGATATGGTGACAAATGGAGAATGGGATGAGGTGGAGAAGTACCTCTCGGGATTCACGAAGGTTGATGATAACAGATATTCAATGAAGATTTTCTTCGAGATTCGAAAGCAGAAGTACCTCGAAGCTTTGGACAAGTGGGTGCATTTAAAGTTAAATTAATTCGAATTGAATTTTGTCTATTTTTGGTATATTTTTCGGATGTGGATTCGAAAATGGAATCCACATACAAATTTCCCTTTTTACTTAAGAAATGAACGAAAAACTTTAGGCGGGATCGTGCAAAAGCAGTGGATATTTTAGTGAAGGACTTGAAAGTGTTCGCAACATTCAATGAAGAACTTTTTAAAGAAATTACGCAACTGCTGACATTGGATAACTTTAGGTACATATTATTTTTTTAGTTGTTCTTGCTCTGTTTTTATTGATGATATTCAAAATATGCATATAGCATATATGGTACTTGTGTTGTGTCACTAGGAATTTATGGTTTTACTTTAATTGCAGAGATAATGAACAACTATCAAAATATGGAGATGCTAAATCTGCTAGAAGTATAATGCTCGCTGAACTGAAAAAATTAATAGAGGCTAACCCTCTCTTTCGAGACAAGCTTCAATTTCCAACATTGAAGAACTCAAGATTGCGAACACTCATTAATCAGAGGTCCATTAGAAACTCATCTATCCTGAGTGTTCATTATATGTTGTTCTAATTATATGTTGTACTCACATTGTCTCCACTGAAGTGCAGTTTAAATTGGCAGCATCAGCTTTGTAAGAATCCAAGGCCTAATCCTGATATAAAGACCCTATTTGTGGATCACAGTTGTGGACAATCAAATGGGGCACGGGCTCCATCCCCAGTCACTAATCCGTTAATGGGTGCTGTGCCTAAGGCAGGGGTTTTCCCACCACTGAGCGCTCATGGCGTAAGTGAGAGAATTGTGAAGGGGTTATTTTCTTTTCCGGGCAAGTATGCCATTTTGAAATCTGAAGGCAACTTTACTTTATGTTTACAGCCATTTCAAGCCACACCTGCTGCTGCTCTTCCAACATCTCTAGCTGGATGGATGGCAAATCCATCTGCTGTTCCTCACCCATCGGCTTCTGCTGGTCCAGTTGGTTTGTCTGCTCCTAATAATGCAGGTATATAACTCACAAGTCCTTTTGAACTGGCTTCTTTCGAGCTATCTCATGAGTTGTGGGTGAACAAGATGTGGAGATCTGTCTAATAGGTTAGACATCCAATGAAAGATTTCTTGGTTTACAAGCCTTAGCACTATGTTGCACAGAAATGGAAACACGGAAAAGGACATGGGGAGACGATATTTTTAAAAATATAGGAAACAAAAACATTGGGGGAAGACGTAAATATGAAAAATTAAATATATTCAATAACAAGTCAACTACAATCAACATTTTATCATATCCAAAAGAATTACAAGTTCCATACTCATAAAAAATACATGTATTTATTATGTATTTATTTTAATTAGAGAAATAAGTTTTTGAGAGTTTTCAATTTATGGGAACTTATTTATGCGGGGGGAAATGTGTTTCCAAATTACTCAATTTACAGAATCGGCCCCAAAACGTTTCCGAGGAGTTTCCAAGCATTTTTCGTGTAGGAAACGTTTCCGAACGCGAAAATGGCAGCCAAAGAAAGTTTCCGTGCAACATAATTGGCAGGCTTTATCGATCTTTGCTATCATGTCCACCAAAATGGTGAGAGAAGGAAAAGGAAAAATAGACGGTTCGTTCATCAAAAAGAGGAAATCGACTGCTCAATACCTTGTCAGCTTGGTATGGCAACGTTCATGGTCTTGGTATACCCAGCAATTTGTAATTTGTTTAGTTTCAAAGGAGAGAATGTGCCGTTGACTTCCTATTAGGGTTTAATGAATTTTGAGAAGCTTGAATAGTTTTAGTAGGACTTTGCTTTAATGGGCATCATTTAATTTGGGAGCAGAAATTTATGATTTTATTCCTCCTCCTTTCTCTCTCGTACCTTTGCATTCTTTTTGGATTTTGTTGATTTCTGAATATATTCAAGTGCTAATAATTTGTTTTTTCTCATTTTTACGAATATCTTGTTGCAGCAGCAATCATAAAGCGTCCTAGGACTCCTCCTACGAATAACCCAGCTATGGATTATCAAACAGCGGATTCTGAACATGTATTGAAGAGAACAAGACCATTTGGAATATCAGATGAGGTATACCCTCTTTTTCCATAATTTCCCCTTGTAATTTTGTGGTTACATTATATGAAAAACTGATTATTAATATGGAACTTTCAAAAATATCTTTAGAGCTTGTTTGGCATTAATGAATTCATTTATAAATCAATATCTGAAGTATTTGGCATGTACCAAAGTGCATTTGCAACTCAACATCTTTAATTCTATGGAATTAGTTATACTTGAGCCAAGTTCTACCAGGACTGGTATCTAACTAGTAAAGCTAAAATATGACATTACGAGACTTAGTGAAATTTGCAAATGAAGTCTATTCAATACATAAGATACCAAACATGATAATTGAGTTATATATTAATTAGTGCAATCCATTTGCTAATTAAATAATTCCTTCTATATTTGTTCCACATAATGTTCGCATAATTTGAGATGTTGTAATTGGTGTATTTTGGCATGGATTGAGGATTTAGGCTTGATTTGGATTTGCTTGTTCGAATGTTGTATATTTGGAAGTGGCATGAGACATTTGACTTGATGGAGGAGGGAAACTTATCATCAAAGTTTGGTTTGAAAGAGAAAAAAGGAGAGGAGGAGAGAGAAAAAAAGGGGGGGGGGGGGGTGCTTGATTATGGAAGTTTAATGAATAATCAATTTAATTAAATCAATATCTGAAGTATTGGCATGTAACCCAAAAGCATCCTGACAAACTCAAAAGCGAATCTTTAATCTCTATGGAAATTAGTAATAACTTGAACCAGAGTATGTAATCCAAGGACTGGTATCTAACTAGTAAGCTAAAATATGACCTATTACGAGACTTAAGTGAAGAATTTGCAAATGAAGTCTATTCAATACATAGATACCAAAACATGATATTGAGTTATATAAATACTATAGTAGCAATCCCCAATTTGCTTAAAATTAATAATTCCTATCATATTTGTTCCACATAATGTTCGCATAATTTGAATAGGTTTGTAATTAGGTGGTATTTTTCAGCATGGATTGGATGCAGAATTGGTTTAGGCTTGCGATATTGGATTTGCTTGTTTCGAATGTTGTATATTGGAAGTGCATAGAGGATCATTCTTGCACTTGAATAGGAGAAGAAACCTATATCTGCAAAGTTGGGTTTGTAAAAGAGTATAAAAGAAAGGAGAGAGTTGAGAGAGAAAAGTATTCATAGGGGGGGGGGGGGGGGGGGTGGGGGCTAAGAATGTCTACATTTCTTAATGATTGAGGAATTTAATTGACTGTAATAGTGAAATTATCTTTAGCTCTGAATATTGACAATCCTAAAAAAGATTAGTTTCGGTTTTAAGACTTGGTTCCTTATATTTCATTTCAATAGGCAAGTATCCTAAAATTGTTCCTTTCTTAATTTTGTTGTCCTGGTCAGGTCAGTAATCTATAATTGGCGAGTAGAGTGCTATTTCCTGTTGCATAACAGCTAGCCAGAGCAAGGACAGAGTTCCTACTCTTTCCTGATGATTGGCCCAAGACTCCTTGTTATGTCTTTGAATCAGAGGTTCCAGTTCCAAACTAACTCACCTCGTGCAACAATTTCTACTTTCGGTTAGCCCCGTCGGCCTTGAAGGACCAGAAATTAGATTCTGTTTCCACATTATATTTTTCGTGCATGCAGATAGGGGGGGGGGGGGGCTAATGTCTACATTTCTTATGATTGAGGTGTTATGCTGTATGTAATCATCTAAGCTTGTTGACATCCTAATGAAAGGATTAAGTTTCGGTTTTAGAGACTTGGTTCCTTATATTTCATTTCAAATGGCAAGTTCTAATTTGCTTCGTTCCTTTCTTATTTTGTTGTCCTGTCAGGTCAGTAATCTACCGGTAAATATTCTGCCTGTTGCATACACTAGCCAGAGCCATGGACAGAGTTCCTACTCTTCTGATGACTTGCCCAAGACTCCTGTTATGTCTTTGAATCAAGGTTCAGCTGTCAAGAGCATGGATTTCCACCCGGTGCAACAATTTCTACTTCTCGGTTAGCCCCCGTGGCCTTGAAGGACAGAAATAGAATTCTGTTTCCACATTTATTTTCGTGCATGCAGATAAAGTTTTGGATTCTTGATTTTGCCTGCTTTTATTATTTCAGTTGGAACAAACATGGGAGATGTCATGGTATGGGAGTTGGGCAGCAGGGAAAGGCTTGCTGTAAAGAATTTTAAAGTTTGGGAACTCGGTGCACGCTCAGTGGGTCTGCAGGTTTGGGTTTCATGCTTAGAAAGTTTATGAAACATGAAGTAATTATTTGTGGTTCCTTGAGGTTTTCATTGGCTAAATTTAAAATTCTGATATTTGTGCAGGCATCTCTTACCAATGATTATACAGCATCAGTTAACCGTGTAGTGTGGAGTCCTGATGGATCTCTTTTTGGTACTATTCAAATGCTATCAACATCTAAGAATCTGCTACCCTAAATAGAATTCTAAGTACAAAAAGTGAGCTTGTCGCTTTCTCTTCCCTGTTTCAGGTGTTGCATACTCCAAGCACATTGTGCATCTATATTCCTACCATGGTGGTGATGACGTGAAGAACTATCGCGAGGTTTGTGTTGCTTAGACAATGTTGTTGAAGTTCCCAATCATTCCATTACTAGTTAATATGATCTACATTTGATATATGGATATTACCTATGAAAGGTGTGGTATTATTTTATTTGAATGTCTTTGGATAATGATGCAAGTATTTTGTAAATTATTATTTTTAGATTGAAGCTCATGTTGGGAGTGTTAATGATCTTGCTTTCTCTTATCCAAATGAGCGGCTAAGTGTTGTCACTTGTGGAGATGACAGGGTCATTAAGGTTTGTTTAGTTGTGTCTCTAACTAATTTGATGGGTTTGTGAAAGCACTATGGTGCATATAAGAATTTTCACTTTGACAGGTTTGGGATCCAGTTACTGGAAATCCAAAATTTACTTTTGAGGGTCATGATGCACCTGTATATTCTGTTTGTCCACATCATAAAGAAAGTATTCAGGTAATTGATTATTTTGATGTTAATTAAATGCGTTTTTTACCCTCCTTTAGCTTCTATACGTGATGAAATAAGAAATGCAATGATGATTACTTTTGAAAAATAACGATGGGTTAACTATTTTACAGGAATTAGGTCTTCCTTTAGTTATTTATTTATTTTTAAATCCTAAACTAGCTGGGATTTGATTACGTGCCTTTAAATGTTTTAAACATTGGTGTTCTTGTTGCTTCCATAACAAGCATTAAACTAATACAATTGATTCGGGGAATATGATCAACAATTTGAGAAGATACTGGATGGAAAAAAATTGTTCTTTGTGTGGAAACATGGTAGAAATAGTTCATAAAAGCTTTGAAACAGCTATGTAGCATCGCCAAACTTTTCTTTTTCAACATCTGAAACAGTCCTTTTCTGGGGATTACTTGAAAGTTTATTCTTCTAGTATTCTATTTTCTTTTCCTTGTTTCTCTCTCTTTCTCTCTCTCCCCTTTTATGCTATCATCTATTATTCTGCGCCATTTTTTATAAACCAATGATGTGTTACACAAAGGTCTCCTTAATGTTATGATATGAAATTGAGATCTTAGGCATGCAATTTGTCGTGTCATAGGGAGTTTCTGACCTATTGGGTTTCCAGGACATGCCTCCTTTTGGAATTTTTTACCAGATTTTCCTCTCTTTATTTAATTTTCTGTTGTGTTGTTCTTCAGATGTTCTGGTAACCACAATGTTTGACAAGTTCCATATTCACCCCTTCACTCTTTTCTTTCTACCTTTTCTTAGTTTATCTTTTCAACGGCTACTGATGGAAAGATAAAGGCATGGTTGTATGATCATGGGGGTTCTAGAGTTGACTATGATGCACCAGGCCACTCATCTACCACAATGGCGTACAGTGCCGACGGAACAAGGTTCATATATTTGGCATTCTTTCTATCGTTCTGATATTATCATTTTTTAGTGTCTTTACCTAATAGTTGTCTCATGACTGTGAACATAATGAAGGTTATTCTCCTGTGGGACAAATAAAGAAGGAGAATCACACTTGGTGGAATGGAATGAAAGTGAAGGAACTGTTAAGCGTGCTTATATTGGTCTTGGGAAGCGATCTGTGGGGATTGTGCAATTTGATACTACTAAGAACCGCTTCTTGGCTGCTGGTGATGAGTTCATGGTCAAATTCTGGGATATGGACAATCTCAGCCTGTTAACAAGCATTGATGCAGATGGTGGATTACCGGTAAGTATATAATTTATCCTTCTATCTGATTCTGCCTTCTATTTGGTTAATTACTCGGTTCTCTTAAATCTGCAGGCTTCTCCTTGTGTTAGATTCAACAAGGAGGGAGCGTTATTAGCTGTCTCAACAAATGACAATAGCATTAAAATTCTAGCTAATTCAGATGGTATTAGACTGCTACGGACAGTCGAGAATCGTGATAGAGCTGCTTCTGCAGCTATTGTGAAGGTAATAGTTTGCAGCTTCTTTAATTCTTCTCAAGTTGATTCTGCTGTTACAAGTTAAAATTTCCTTAACAAGAAAATATGTTATTTAACATGTGGTTTTCATGTAGGCCCCTTCAATTGGCAATTTTCCTTCTACCAATGCTACTGTTGGAACCAGCATTGGGGATAGAGTTGCTCCTGTGCCACCCATGGTTGGAATAGTGAGTGTTGAATGCACGGTATTGACATTGTAAGTATCTTTACATTATTGATTTAATCCATTTTTGTTTTGAGTTTCAGCAGAACAGTGATAGCCGGAGTTTGGTAGATATAAAACCTAGAATTGGAGATGAACCAGCAGAAAACTCTAGAATCTGGAAAGTTACTGAAATAAATGAGCCATCACAGTGTCGATCTCTGAGGCTCCCTGATAACATGACAGCCATGAGGGTATGATCCTTTCTCTTCAATTTAATCTGAATGAAGTCAACATCTAGTGACATTCAAGATTAGTATTGAGTGTTGTTGCCGATCCAGCTGGCATACTATACTTGAAATATTCCACTACATATATTGACAGTTCTTTATGCTTTGGCTACTCAATCTATAAATAAATTTGATGTCACATTTGTTGTTCTAATGTGTTCTTTGTTTGCCGGCAATTTTTCTTAGATTGCTAGATTGATTTATACAAATTCTGGACTTGCTATATTAGCATTAGCATCAAATGCAGTACACAAGCTATGGAAGTGGCAGAGAAATGATCGAAATCCTAATGGGAAGGTATTATTATGATTGTGAGAGTTTGTTTGGGTGGTTCTTTGTTCTTTGGTTTTGGGTATTTAATTTTATGCATAGAAAAATGGCTTAATGTGCTTTGAAAAGTTTGCCACTAACTAGTTTCTCTTGTAGGCCACTGCTAATGTAGTACCACAGTTGTGGCAACCTGCTAGTGGTATACTGATGACTAATGATATAAGTGAAACAAATCCTGAAGATGCTGTCCCATGCTTTGCACTATCAAAGAATGACTCTTATGTTATGTCTGCTTCTGGAGGAAAAATCTCTCTTTTCAATATGATGACATTTAAGGTACATGGCTTGTGCCCTCTAAAGTCATTGGTCTAATGGAAAATATTAGTTTTAGATTATTTTTTGATTGGTTTTGTGAATTGACTTATCTTACATGTCATTCAACTTTCGTCCTGCCTTTTTAATTGCAGACAATGACTACTTTCATGCCCCCTCCGCCAGCTGCTACATTTCTGGCTTTTCATCCTCAGGACAATAATATAATTGCTATTGGCATGGAGGACTCCTCTATTCAAATTTATAATGTCCGCGTTGATGAGGTGTTAAACAATATAATCGAACATGAAATTTTTATAGAAAGTAAAAAAAAAAAGCAAAAAAATCGAACATGAAATTTTTATAGAAAGTAAAAAAACAAAAAAATGTTGACTTTATCTGCACTGTCCACTTCTCAGGTCAAAACTAAGTTGAAGGGTCATCAGAAAAGAATTACAGGCCTTGCTTTCTCTCACTCTCTAAATGTTCTTGTTTCTTCTGGAGCCGACTCTCAGGTAATGATTATTAACAATACTGTGAGTCACCATTACTAATCAACACAGAAAATACCATTAATAAAGTGGGAGTCACCATTAGTAATCAACACACAAAATACCATTAAGAAAGTGGTGCATGCTATTTGAAAAACATAAGTGCTGCACATTCAAATTATTCAATTCCTGATTTTGTTCTCCCTACAGTTGTGTGTTTGGAGCACAGATGGGTGGGAGAAGCAGGCTAGCAAATTCTTGCAAGTTCCACAAGGACGAAGTTCAGCTTCTCTTGCGGATACACGTGTTCAATTTCATGTTGACCAGACGCATCTGCTGGCAGTTCATGAATCACAAATAGCGATATATGAAGCACCAAAATTAGAATGTCTTAAACAGGTTTATGAGAATATAATATTTGAAGAATCTTTAGATTTTCACACCTATGTAGTTAATGCACAATTACAGAGTAAGAGTACATGTTAATATTTGACAAAATCTTTCTGAACTATGTTTATGCCAATAGTGGTTCCCGCGGGAAGTGAGTGGTCCAATCACGCATGCCACATATTCCTGTGACAGCTCGTCCATATATGTTAGCTTTGAAGATGGCAGCGTGGGTGTTCTCACTACGTCAACACTAAGATTGAGATGCAGAATAAATCCAATGGCTTATTTACCTCCCAATCCTAGGTGATTCTTTTATGTATAAATTATGATTACTCCAATATGTTTCTATTTTACAGATTGGACTGACTCGATATTTCTACAGCTTGAGGGTATACCCTCTTGTCATTGCAGCCCATCCATCTGACCCTAATCAGTTTGCATTAGGGCTAATGGACGGAGGAGTCCATATCCTGGAGCCATTGGAGACTGAGGGAAAATGGGGCACCTCACCTCCCGTCGAAAATGGTGCCGGTCATAGCACCACTTCAGGTGCAGCTGGTTCAGAACAAGCTCAAAGGTGACTAGAGCACGTGCTGTGGCTTTCACAAAGGACTTGAGTGTATGTATTTCAAGCTGATCCCGCTCCCTGGGCCCACTCCAACGTGATTTTGAAGGGGAAGCTGCGGAAATTAGGTGGTTATAGGTTTAATATACACACTTGAGCTATACACCAACTCAACCTGACAGGGGTTATTGTACAAGTGTCATTGTAACTAGGGAAGTAAGTGCTCTGAAAATAGTATTGTCTTAAAAAGGGGTACCTGTGTCAGGAAGTTATGAATAGGTTGGGCTGTTTTATATGCTCATTTTTAGTTTCGAGAATAGTTATCTGATTAATTCTATCATTGCTTCTCTACTTTTTTTCTCTTTATTTTTTAAATTTTGGTTTCTATTCTTCTGAAATGGAAATGTTCTTTTTATTTTTATTAATCTTCACAAGTAATTCAACATATTTGGCATTTGAGATTGAGCATTAATTGAAATGCTATAGTTAATTTCTGAAATAATATGGTTTTGTAATTTGATATAGCAAAAAACCTGTTTTTGTTTCAACTCGACATTTTTGTGCATATAATTTACGTAGAAATCGCTAAAAACAATTAGTGAATTCTGAAAAATTAGGAAAGTGTTTGGAGAGTCAATCTAAAGATTTCTTCTTTATTGTCATGGTGCTCTCCAGTCAATTTACATGCTGACTTCAGTATCAGCAGTGAGAAAAGAGAACTTTCTATTCATCAGAATTGTTGACGAAAACAGAATCTGCAAAGAATCCGCAATTAGAATTTGTTTCAAGATTCTGTGACACGAAATCAATTGGAAGACGTTCATGTTTGTACTCGATTAGATTCCTCCATTAGGCGCTTACCTTTGTATAATCGCATGCTTCAACTTCCATAATTATAGTATTCAATTCTTTTATATTTGTCCAAGTTGCTTGAGAAGCCAACTATGGTGACCTCACATCTAGAGGGAGCAAAAATATTGGTGTTATAATCCTAATTGCTAGATAAGGGATGAGATTTCGAAGTAGGGGTGTATATAAACTTGAAATAGAGATTCAAATGAAAAATAGAAATTATAGTTTCGAAAGTGTAAACCACAAAATATATATTATGGAGCCAAAATATGTAGTTTCGAAAGTTTATAGGATAGCTTTGCCACCATCTTCTCTATACATTGACATAGTCAATAACCAACATTCCAAGAAAAAACAAGAAAAAACAAGAAAAAAAGATCAGCTTTCAACTATACACAATGCAAAAGGTGTTCAAGTCTCAGAAAGGACAGATGATTAACTAATTTCGCTTTCGCCCTAGTTTTGTGTGCCTTTTGTTGTTAGCTGAGGACAATTGCTTGGAAGGTACAGGCAACAATGTCCCTCCTCGAATATCGTTTGTATCTGTCATGTTATTAAGTGTTTTCTGGGCTTCGATGCAGACTGTAAGATCACGAATCTGCGACCATCAGCATTTAAAGTATTATCAGAAACAGTGTGTTCAGTTAGTCACAAATGGACCAAAATATTTACAATAGTTACACCACCTGTTCTTCAAGGTCAAGTATCTTCTCATCCATTGAGCATAACAATGAAGTTTCCCTAAAGAATAACCAAATGAATTATCATTTATTAGAAGGGGAAATAATATCAACTATTTCAAAGCAAGGTTTAGTGCAAGTGCTGTATCTGTACAAACTAAGGCAGGCAAGGTAATTTTCCAGTTTATACCTTGTCCAATAAAAACTGCATACACGTTTTTATTGGACAAGGTATAAACTGGAAAATTACCTTGCCTGCCTTTGTTTAATTAAAAAATGGTTCAAAAACCTTCCTCTAAATTTCACTAGCATTGTGTGGACTTTTTAAGAACTTTATGCATCAATGCTTGTGACAAATTCAACTATATTTCAATGCAACCCATAAAAAATGTACTATTAACAGCATCATGTTAAAATTATATGCTTTGTTATCTCTTTGATGCTACATGTTCTTCACAGGTGATGCTTGTAACTCGTCATGATGGATAAAGATTCACTGCCCCTGTGTGCTTTAGTTCCCCAACCACCACACAAGAAAAACCATGAAAGAGGAGATAGGTTGAGAAGCTATACATAAATGCAGCAATTAAAATGATATAATTAACTACATGAGGAAACAATCGCATCTATGAATCCAAGGGAGAGGGAAAAGTCTACCTCTCTTCAACTTCCTTGACTTTTTTACGCCAAATCTCTTGATTTTTGATTAGATCTCGGTTGACCTAAGGATGGAGAGAGAAATGCTATTAATAAGAAGCCAAATCCAAAAAGAATTAATACTAGAACATTTGCATATCTGAATTAATTATTTACATCTGCAACAGCATCCTTTTCCTGTTCACATTTTTCCAATTTAATTTGAATATCATGCATTGTTGAACTCACGGCCTTCTCCACTGCCTCTAAAACAGAACCTTCTCGTTTACTTTTGGCCTCTGCAATTAGAGATTCATAATACTGAAAGAAAACATGAAAGAGTTAAAAATTCTCTCTGATATGATAAAAGGATAAAGAGTGCCAAAATACAAGAATCAAAAGAACTATATTCATTCCCAATATAGTAGGCATATGTCCTTTTGATATTTATCCGGTCACAAAAGCAATCCAAAAAATAATTACAAAACCCAAACAATTTATAACTTAAGATGATGCCAACATATAGATACCCAAGCAAAAGGTTTGCTCTAGGTCCTATATGGTTGATGTCATTACTGATATAACCAGATCACCTGCTCTAGATCCCACTATGGCTCAATTTTCAGACATTGATACCCCATCTCTACAAGAAGTAGAATAAATAACTGAAAAGCCATGGGAATAAATAGCTCCAACCACACAAGTAGAGAATGGCTATCAACCAGGGAAGAGGAAAACAAGGGTGGAAGAAATTGGATCAGGGTGTTGTAAACAGTATACTTACTTGTCTTTGAGCCTCAAGCTGAGTTGCGAGAAGACGATTGTACTCATCTACAATCTGTCATCAAGTAAAACCTAGGATCAAGAAATGTATTTTGAAGGATTAAAAATGAGAATTCAAGTAATAAACATGCCCAAGAGTACAACAAGAATCACAAGCCCGTCATGTTCTAATGCATAGTTCATGAAAGTAAACATTACTAAAAATTTTATCCAACTCCATCCAACCAAGCCATACTAGCAATCAGAATTGCTAATCAAACATAAAGGAGTTCCTCAAACAAATTTCAGAAATAAAATTTTAAATATCTGCAAATTCAGAAGCAAAGAATAACATACTGTTTCAACTTTGCTGCTAAAGAGAGCCCCGCTAATTCCAGAATCGTCACTGCATCCGCAAGTGCCACAATCTTCCTCAAATGGTGAACAACGAGAGTTCATATCTACCAACTTGCCATCAGCTTTTGACTGGTTTAGTCGATGAACATAGTTGTCACCAACGTAATCCCACATTTGTTGTGTACTTAAATCGAGAGAATAACAATGCTGTGTATCTTTCCAATGCCTTATAGCATGTTGTTCCTTATATCTGAGTTCAGAAAAAGGGTTTAATGACGTCTAGATGAAGAAAAATCATGGTCTATTTCATATTTTTATCTATAATAAACTTTAGCTTGCAGGGATTTCAGAATCTTTAACAAAATACTCAGTTATGCATTACCTTCCACATCCCACAAAACCACATATTAGACAAACCCACAAGTTCTCGAACGTTCCACAAACAGAACAAGCCGGTATGTCATCCTGCTGCTGACAAAGTCGACAGACCTGACAAAATCCTCAGTCAGTATAGATGTTTAACACTAATCTCTTAGTTTTATTGATAACCCATGTAGCTCTATCCAGTTTATATAAAAGTAAAAAACATCAAAGAAGATAGAACTCTCTAACTATTAAAATTTCTATATGCATACGGCGCTGATTTTCCCTTGTGCAGAAAAAAAGATGAAAGAAGCAACTTGGACAAAAGGGTATTCTTATTCTAGAGGTTGTGATAGTATCCTTTCCAATCTCTTTTGCATCCTATTCCCTCGTTATAAAGAGAAGCTACATTACCTAACAAAATGGAAATAAATGCAACAGAAATATCCACATGTCCTGGGTTCCATTGGTACCTATTCCTGAATTTGTAATAGAAAGGTAGCAAACACAGAGAGGCATGATCAAGTTACATATGAAATATTTTATAATTCGTATAGAAATTGAACACTAACACAATAAGTGTCAATAACTTCATACTGCAGTCCAAAAATATTTGTTACGACTGCTATGAATAAAATGTATTGGAATTTTTTATGTGAATTGAATTCAATTGTGATTGGTTTCAACAACTTGTGTACTTCATTGTAATTTTCAGGTTAGCTGTATATTAGTTTAGACGACATGTAACTCATGTGGCATTAAGTGGTGCTGATATGTATTTCTTGCAGTAGTACTAAAGATGAATTGGAAGTGTAAACAGTAACTTCGTAACATTAAATAAAAGACTAGATTTCTTCTCTCTCTTCAGTACCTCCTTTCTCTCTTACTTTCTCAATTATTCTTTTCCTCTCTTCTCTTATCATTCCCTAACCTTTCTTTTACTTTCTCAATAACAAACAGATCAGTTAGGGATTCGATGACTGGAATCTATAACAATATTATGTTGAAGTTTGCTAGGTTTACTATGATAGGAACAAGATTACTTGATGGGATTGGCTGACGTGCAGCAGAGTCATCAGGATAGCAACATATTTGCTCAACTCCCTGCTTAAAAAATTTATCTTAATATTTAAAAATATTATGGACATAATCAAATTTTTTTATAATACACTATGAGCCCATAAACCAACAATCCGTTAGGTTATTAGAAACAGATGAGAAACAAAATATGGATGAAACACTTAGCTAACCTCATTCCGAAGAAAAAACCCACAAAATAAATAAATTCAAGGCGAAGAAAACTAGTTTCACCTGGCAAGACAAATAGGTCCACTTTGAAGTGCATGAACATTGAAATGAATGGTCACATAGTGTACTGAGTATTCCACTAGTGTCTGCGTCCAATCTCTCTGACATTAAAACAAAAAAAAATCAGCATATTATAGTGAAAACCAACGGAAAAGCCTTCTTGATTGAAAAAAAAAAAAACAAAAAGGAAAAAGTAAAAGCCATTGGTTTCCCTAGTCGAAGGCACAAGACCAACCAAGGCATATTGGACAAGTAGGCAACTCAGTGAATCCCTGGGGAGGTGAGCTGGCTATCTCAGCAACTTCAGCGTAGTCCACGGAAAGCACAAATAGAATATGGCATACCTCGGCCTACATGATCATAGAAGGCAAGAATTATCTTTGGCGATCACAAAGAAAAATATATTTATACGAACAATCACTACAAGCAAAGATGACAAACCTCTGCAGGAGAAAACCGTTTCCCATTGAAATTGCTATAAAATCCATCAGCTGTCAACTGATCATTTAGCTTGATTAAAACACTATACCGATCTTCCATCGCATCATTCCTTAAAAATTATCAAGAGGCACAAACATAAGACTCTGCTCAGTTTCTAATAAATTATCTTTCTATTTTCACTAACTTCAAAATCCTATTTTGCTTTCAATTCTCCCTGTGTATCTGGCAAACATACCGCTGTTTGGATTCATTATCATCGGCAAGCATAAAAACAAATTTACCTGATGAATAGGAGCTCATGGACATTATCGATGTGCGATTCGCAGAACCGGATGAAATCGTCGGCGGAGAGATAATTTGGAACCGCAACGACAAAGAGAGAAGTGGATCGAGAGCTAGGGTTTGGCAATGAGCTCTGCGATGCGTGTCGATACAGGTGGACTACGCCTCTTCTTTCACCGTATTTAGGGTTAGGGATAGCGTTTGATTGGGTGGTAGCAGCTGAAACGGTAGAGAAGGCGGTCTCCTCGAGAGCGAGAGGATGATCGGTGTCCACTGAGTGGACTCGGAGGATAAACATTGTAGCTGTTTTTTGGGTTGAATCGGTATGGAGACTCGGCTTGAGGTAGAGGAGGAAATGTTTATTCGCGGGAAACCGCTGTTTATTGGGTTTGGCAAATTATGAAATTTTAGCGATTATAAAAACTATATAATTAAATTGAATGAAAAGAATAACATAATTTACCTTTATCTCAATAATTTATTATTTATTTAACTATTTACAAATATAGGCAACACAAACGGATCAAAATAAATAAAATAGTTTTAAAAAAAAAAAAGTGAAAAGAGCGAGTACAAATAATGGTTATATTGGAAAAAACTAATTACTAGAAATAGGAGAATTCTTGTATAATTATTATTAATTACTGAATTTTACTCATGGTCATTCATTTCACTTTTTTCCCTCAATATCCATAAATTTCATCATTTTTAATTCACATCCTTCAACGCCTTTCTATTAATTCTCATTCTTACACTACAAAATTATTATTATATTTTTTATTTTTCTTTGAATATCGAAAGAGGAATTCGAAACTGAATCTATTGTCATATTATACATACACTCACTATTAGACCTTGTCCCGGTGTATGCATTTTCTACTATTCATTTCTCTTTGTTCATATCTTTTATTATGATATTATCAAGATTTTCAATTGTAGATATTATAAATAAAAAATAGATACCAGTTAAGTTATGCATATATTTTGACTCCAATTGAACTTTGGTTAACAAAATTTAAAAAAATGAGGGAAAAATGAAATAAAATAAAAAAATTATATATCCAAGACCAACTAAAATGAGTACGGTACATGGAAATGAATAGTGTTTTGAAGAATGTTATTGAGCAGGGTTGCACCCTGAGTCGGCTGCGGCTGCACAGCAGTCCTGCCGAGCATTATGAATCTGCTGTGTTGGAACTATAGAGGGATCGAGAATGCCACTATAATTCGTTGTTTGAAACAACTTTGAAAGTTGCAGATTCCCAGCTTGGTTTTTTTGATGGAAACAAGACTCAATGTGATGGAGAGTGAGGCTCTGGGTAAATCGTGTAATAAACAGGGATATGCAGTTCCATGTGATCAAGTTGTCGGTAGAAAGGGGGGTCTTCTCCTGTGTATGGTATGATGCAATTTCAGTACATATTCTTTCTGCTTACTTTTGATGCCATTATTGATGATTCTTGGCGATTTACTGGTTTTTACGGTAGGCCGGAGAAACACCAGAAGTTTCGTTCATGGGAGTTGTTACGTGATCTGAAGGGGGTGTCAGATTTTTAGTGGCTTTGTGCAGGTGACTTCAATGAAATTCTTTATCACCATGAGAAGATGGGAGGTACAGTTAAAGATCAAAGAAAGCTTGACGATTTCATGCGGCATTGAATTTCTATGAGTTAGTAGATTTGGGCTATAAAGGCTTTTCTTTCACATGGTCGAATAGACAAGGTGGTGATCGAAATATTGAAGAAAGGTTAGACAGATATGTTCCTTCTAGTGATTGGGTTTCTGGGTTCCCCAACTACTCTTTATGTCATGCGAGCGGAAAAAACAATCTAAGAAAAAAAAGAGGCCTTTCCACTTTGAATTTATGTGGTTAAGAGAAGAGTCTTGTAAAAAGCAGTTAGTAATGCCTGGTTTCGGGATGAAAGTCTAAAAAGGGAAGAGTCCGTGGAGAAACGTTTTGAGAGATGAGAATTAGTCTCAAAAAATGGGAACGGGGCCATTTTGGTCATGATATTACTTGTTGGGTTTGGCTTTCCTTCTTATGTGGTAAAAGCCCATATTTTGAAGTCTATTAAATTAATTATTGTTTTACAATTTTACCCCTTAACTAACAGCCATATTTATGATATTTTTGGCTGCTATTTGATTTATTCACACATCCAAAACCGTGTGAGAAAAACAGAAAAGAAGAGGAGAGGAGAGAGATTTTTTCTGCACACAGTCCCATCCAGCACCAGCCATCGTGTTTTGGAGATTCCCGGAGTTCCAACCGTTGGATCTTTGTGATATTTGGGTATGTTGTTCTTTACTCTCACCGAATGGATTTTGGTTCAGAGATTGAGTTATGGTTCTGAATCCGAAGCTGTCCTGTTCTGCTTCCAGCTTTGCATAGCTTCATCATCTTCAGCGTTTCGGCAGTCACCCTTCCTTTGTCGGATTGAGCTGATTTTTGGTGAGCATGTTCCTAACATTCAATTCTTGATTCTGGCCGACCAGTTTAATTTTTGGAAAAATGTATTTAGAACAGTAATTGTGTTTTGTGATCACTTCATTGTGTTGCTACACGTTTGTTTGTGGTATAGCTACATTTTTTGTGGTTGTAGGTTGCTGTAATTTGTAAGACAATATTTGTGATAGTGAACTTTATTTGTCACTCATTGTTATTCCTAATATATTCATTCACAACAAAAACTTCCCCACTTGAATGAATATATTAGGAGTAACAATGAGTGACAAATAAAGTTTACTATCACAAATATTGTCTTACAAATTACAGCAAGCTACAACCACAAACAATGTAGCAACACAATGGAGTGATCAGCCAAAATCAAGAATTGGATGTTAGGAACATGCTCACCAAAAATCAGCTCAATCCGACAAAGGGTGATTGCCGAAACGCTGAAGAAGATGAAGCTATGAGACAAAATCAAGAAATTGGATGTTAGGAACATGCTCACCAAAAACAGCTCATCCGACAAAGGGTGATTGCCGAAACGCTGAAGCAGATGAAGCTATGCAGAGCTAAGAAGCAGAAACAGGAACAGCCTTCGAATTCAGAGCCCAAAAATCAGCTCAATCCGACAAAGGGTGATTGCCGAAACGCTGAAGAAGATGAAGCTATGCAGAGCTAGAAGCAGAACAGGACAGCTTCGAATTCAGAGCCATAACTCAATCTCTGAACCTCAAATCAAAATCCCTTCGGTGAGAATCAAGAACAGAGAGTAAAGAACAACATATCCAAATATCACAAAGATCCAACGATTGGAACTCCGCAAATCTCCAGAACACGATGGCTGGTGCTGGATGGGGCTGTGTAGAAAAAATCCCTCTCCTCTTCTCACACGGTTTTGGATGTGTAAATAAATCAAATAGCAGCCAAAAATATCATAAATATGGCTGTTAGTTGAGGGGGAAAATTGTAAAACAATAAGTAGTTTAATGAACTTCAAAATATAGAATTTTACCACATAGTAAGGGAACACAAACCCAACAATTACTAACTGTCAAGAAACTCTCAAAAACTCCAGAATGATAGCCAAACAGAGGAAAACCTTGAGCAATAAAAGCTAGTAGAGGACCGTCTTAGCGAGCTTCTGGAAAGAGAGAGGAGGTGATGTGGAAACAACAGTCTAGAGCATATTGGCTTCGGGAGGGTGATAGGAATACAAAGATTTTTTCATCGTAAAGCAAATGGGCGAAAGAAGCGTAACAATATTACCCATATCAATATTACCCATATATTGGATGACTCAAGTAGGAGTTATTCGAAGGAGGAGGACATGGCTGAAATTATGAATCACTATTTTAAGGATCTTTTTTCTTCATCTTGCCCATCTGCTTATGAGGATGTTTTGGAATCTGTGGAGGGGACGGTCACTTGTGATCAGAACAATGAACTCTGCAGGCCATACACACCAGAGGAAGTGCTTGTTGTTCTTAAACAAATGCATCCATCCAAAGCTCATGGCTCTGACAGTATGCTTCGTTTCTTTTTTCAAAATTTTGGTCTATTGTTTGTCACGTCTGTCTCTTCTAAAGTGTTAGCTATTTTGAATGATGGTCTTTCTTCTGCTTCCATAAATCAGACTTTTATTGCGTTTATTTCTAAAATCAGTAATCCAGAGCACATTAAAGATTTTAGACCCATATCTTTGTGTGACAGTCATTTTTAAATTAGTAACTAAAGTTATTGCTAATCGTTTAAAATTAATTCTTCCAAGTCTAATTCACCCATCTCAATCCACTTTTGTCCCAGGAAGATTAATAACTGATAATGCCCTTATGGCTTTTGAGATTTTCATCATATGAAAAATAGAGTGAATAGTCGAAGAAAGGGTTATTTTTCCTGTAAGCTGGATATGAGTAAGGCGAATGATAGGGTGGAATGGACTTTTCTTGAAAATATCATACTTAAAATGCGTTTTGCTAAACAATGGGTTGATTTAATTATGAGTGTGTGTCTATGGACTCTTATTCTATCCTGTTGAATGGAGAGCCACAAATTCCATTTACTCTAGAAAAAGGACTTTGGCAATGGGATCCCTTATCTCCATATTTCTTCCTTTTCTGTGTTGAAGTTTTTTTCTAGTTTGATTCATAGAGCAGAATCTAATCATTTGCTGTATGTTGTTTGTATTTGTCAAGGTGCTCTTTGTGTGTCTCATTTATTTTTTGCAGATGATGGTATTATTTTTGGGCATGCGACAGTGGAGCAAGCTGCAACAGTAACTAAAATTCTTGCAGATTATGAAAGAGCTTCAGGTTAGAAAATTAGTACGGAGAAATCGAAAATTTCGTTCAGCCAAAATGTGTAGGAAGCCATTCAACTTAGTATTACGGGGGTGTTGGAAGTCCGTGCTATTGATCAACACGACAAGTACCTGGGTCTCCCTGCTGTCATTGGAAGGAAAAAAAAGCAGATGTTTGGCAACCTAATTGATCGTGTTGCGAAAACACTCAAAGGGTGAAAGGAATTATCGCTTTAAAGGGCAGGGAAACAGGTATTGTTGAAATCTGTCGGTCAGGCTATTCCCACTTATGCCATGACTTGTTTTTTGTTGCCAGTTGATACTTGTTCAACAATTAAGAATATGATGGCTAGATTCCGGTGGGGTCACCGGAAAGATGAGAAGCGTATCCATTAGACAGAATGGAAAAAGCTGTGTCTTCCTAAACATTTGGGTGGTCCAGGCTTTAGAGATCTTCAGGCTTTTAATCTAGCAATGTTATCCAAACAATGTTGGAGGTTAGTGCAGGATGAGAACTCGTTGGCAGCAAGGTTTTTTAAAGCTAGATACTATCCCCATAGAAGCTTTATGGAGGCTCCTGGGCTATCAGCCAAGTTTTGTTTGGAGGAGCATTCTTAAAGCTCGCTGGATTATTGATAGA